CCCCTGCACCCATGTGGGAGACCTGGAAGAAGCTCCTGGCTCCTGGCTCCTGGTTTTGGATTGGCACAGCTCCGGCCATTGCAACCAATTGGGGAGTGAACAGGCAGAGTGGACAGTGAGAGAGAGAGAGACAGAGAGAAAGGTCTTCCTTTTGCCATTGGTTCACCCTCCAATGGCCGCTGTAGCTGGCGCACTGCGGCCAGTGCATCGCACTGATCCGAAGCCAGGAGCCAGGTGCTTCTCCTGGTCTCCCATGGGGTGCAGGGCCCAAGCACTTGGGCCATCCTCCACTGCACTCCCGGGCCATAGCAGAGAGCTGACCTGGAAGAGGAGCAACCAGTACAGAATCCGGCACCCCGACCGGGACTAGAACCTGGTGTGCCGGCGCCGCAGGCGGAGGATTAGCCTATTGAGCCATGGCACCAGCCTTAGCAGCATTTTTTTCTAGATTTGAGAAGGATGTCTTTGGTATTTTGATTGGTATTGTATTGAATCTGTAAATTGCTTTTTGGAAGAATAGACATTTTGATGATATTGATTCTTCCATCCATGAACATGGAAGATTTTTCCATTTTTTTGTAGCTTCTTCAATTTCTTTCTTTAATGTTTTATAATTCTCATGGTAGAGATCTTTGACATCTTTGGTTAAATTTATTCCAAGGTATTTGATTTTTTTTGTAGCTATTGTGAATGAGATTGATCTTAGAAATTCTTTCTCAGTTGTGGCAATGTCTGTGTATACCAAGGTGGTTGATTTTTCTGTTTGATTTTATATCCTACTTTACCAAGCTCTTCTATGAGTTCCAATAGTTTCTTGGTGAAGTCTTTTGAATCCCCTATATACAGAATCAAGTCATCTTCAAATAGAGATAGTTTGATTTTCTCTTTCCCAATATGTATCCCTTTGATTTCTTTTTCTTGCCTAATGGCTCTTGCTAAAACTTTCAAGGCTATATTGAATAGCAATGGTGAGAGTGGGCATCCTTGTCTGGTTCTGGATCTCAATGGGAATGCTTCCAGCTTTTCTCCATTCAATATGACTCTGGCCATGTGTTTGTCATAAATTGCCTTGATTGTGTTGAGGACTATTCTTTCTATACACAATTTGCTTAGAGTTTTCATCATGAAGCGGTATTGTATTTCATCAAATCCTTTCTTTGCATCTATTGAGATAATTATATGGTTTTTATTCTTCAACTTGTTAATGTGATGTAATACATTGATTTGCAAATGTTGAACCATCCATCGATACCAGGGATAAATCCCACTTGATCCAGGTGAATGATTTTTCTGATGTGTCGTTGGATTCGATTGGCTAGAATTTTGTTGAGGATTTTTGTGTCTGTGTTCATCAGGGAAATTGGTCTGTAGTTCTGTTTCTTTGTTGTGTCTTTTCCATGTTAAAAAGCCCATGGGAGCATTTCAGGCATGGAAAGGCAAGACACTGTGGCAAAAAAATGTCCTATATGAAGGCTCTCTGTAAGAAAGACCCCAGTGGAAAGAAGTAGCCCTCAAAGAAGGATGTACTTTTCTCCGAAGGGAGGAGAGAACTTCCACTTTGCTTATGGCCTTGTCTAAATACTGATGGAGATTATGTATTCAAAACACTTCCATAGCCTTCACAATTCATGTCAAGAGCCTTTGGTGATCATAGACATCATACATAAGAGTTAATTGTTAAATTAACAATGGGAGTCATTATGCACTTACTTCCCATGCAGGACTTCTGTCATCAATGAGTTTTATTATGAGAATTAACTGTAAAACTTGTTCTCAAACAGTTTTTTTTTCTGTGTGTGTGTTTGTGTGTGAAAATTGTTGAAATGTTTACTTAGTATAGAGTTGGTCTTCTGTATATAAAGTTAATTGAATCTTAATGGAGAATGGGACTTGGAATGGGCGAGGGGGGAGGAAGTTGGGTGGGAGTGGGGGTGAGAGGGTAGGTATTGGTAGGAAGAAGCACTGTATTTCTAAAGTTGTACTCATGAAGTTTGTACTCATTAAGTAAAAGGTTTCTTTGGGGAAAAAATAAAAGTAATAGGTGCAAGGCAAAAATTCTAAAAACTCATAAGTGCAGAAGTTATAGAGCAAAAAGTAGAAGTTGACCCTTTCTGACTACCGTATGTAGTATTAACAGTTACTCATATATCCTTCCAAAAAGTTATCTACATATTCATCTATGGGTCTAATTTTATTTTTCAAAAACAGAATTATACTATATACACATTTTTACAGTTAGACTCCACTTAAAGCGACTGTTTGACAGATTATTTTAGAATCTGAGATTCTTTTTCTTTTTTGTTCTTAATACAGATTATTCTATACCAAATATATGATACCAAGATTATGACATTTGGTTTTTCCTATTTGATCTAACAAACAGTTGCACTTTAACCAGGCTTTAGTCTAATTTGAGATTTATGCAGATTTGGAAATTTCTTGAAGTAGAAAGTGCCAAAAGTAAAGTGAGTTTGTGAGAATTGACTTCACTCACTTGCACCTCTCTCAAACAGTACATAATTTCCTTTTACTTTGGTGAGAAATAACATTTGGAAATAAATTTGTGCCCATGGGTATAAGTCTACAGGTTTATGACTCATACTTTTTTTTGTGATCTATGTGCTGTTTCTGTCATACTGTGGCTGCTTAGGAAATGTCCAAGAAAAACAACAATAATGCTGGTATTTGGTTTGTCAGTTGTGGTTCATATCAGTCAGGCATACAGAAGCATTCTTGCTGAGGAATATGATCCTCACTTGATTCTAATTTTATCTTTGTGGTGCAGCTTTTAAATATGAGGACAGCTGGTGTTGGATAAATCTGTCCTCACAAGCTGTATGAGACTGAAATAAAATTAAATATTTGGGGTTAAATCCAAATGCCAAGATGTGGAAACAACTCATTAATGTTTTGATATTTCATTTTCTGTATCTTAGTGAAAAGGCACTATTTTTTGTAAACTCCTAGCAAGTCCTGTTTGAAGTTTAAGATTAGCATTAGAATGCATTTTCTAACTTAGGGTTTAAAATATCATAAAAGGTAAAGCAGAGTTCTTGCTTTTCACTCCATCCTCCACCTTGCTTGACAAAATGATAGGCTTGTACATACCTGATTTTTTTTTCATACCTGATTTTGTTAGCAACCTTTCTTTGTCTTTGTCCTTTGAGTAAATGATTGCTACCAATGAAATAGTAAGTCTTACACTTCTGCTTGGGTTGGGATAATAATCCTTTTTGGCCTCTGAAAGTTTGCAAATGATGTGACCCCAAATTTGTAGTAGATTCTTGTCTAGGTGACTAAGTATCTTGCTAATTGTTAAGGAGTAAATAAGGGTAGTGAGGTCAGAGAATAGTCAGGTTGTTGGCTCTTGTTCAGCTGACGGGATTACTAGGGTAGAAAAACACTAAAAATAAAACAGGGCACAGATTCTCCTGCCAGGGGTTGAGTATTGGGATAACTTGTCTGCTTGGTGATGTTGACATCATCTATTCTAATGCAGTGTGCAGATAGGAACCAAAATGAGGAATAGATTTGGCCATGGCCTACTGTCAGTAAAAGTCCTTGGCTATTGTTCCAGTATACCTGTTGTTACTCTTTTCCAGGTTCAATTATTTAATCTCTTTAAGTCCTCTAGAAGGTTGCCAAGTATGTGCTTCAAAGTGAGGACTTTAAGCCAAACTGGGGCCAATCTCAGGGGAAATCCCTTGCTCTCTTGTAGTTTGAAATGATTTTTTCCTAGTTCTCTTCCATCAGCTGGGAAGTCAAAATCTAGCAGAGCAGCAAATGTGAGACCTCTCAGGAGCTCAGTTTTCTAGGACCTGAACATTTCAAAGTGATCCTGCTTACCTGAAGTGGAGTACGGATTCTTACTGCTGATAGGATTTTTATGATTGTTGCTTTGGACACCCAAGCAGAAAGCCATTGCCTGTCATAATTCAGCTGTGGTTCTCATTTAGTGGAAATCCTTGCAAATTCCTACCGTCTTTATATCTGTCCTGATTCTCTTTTAGTTGTATAGGTTTTTCTGTTTAACTGGAGTATTTCTGTCTCATATGGATTAAGTGCTTGATATTCATACAACACTTTCATGCATTTATCTTGTGACTGTAGCAAGTCGGTGAAGAAGGCAGGTGTTCCTTTGTTAACTGCTAGACAAAGAAAAGCCAATAAAATCAGACCTTGGCAGTGGTTGATGCCGAGTGCTGGGAGCGCTGGGATTCATTGTCTACTCAGCAGTGTCCAGTGTGACCTAGAGCTCTCTTTTCAAGTCAGGAGGTTTGTTCAATTTTTGTAAAATGCTTTATTTGAATGTTTCTACAGAACAATGCATTCTTACTGTACAACACTTAGAAAATATGAAAGAAAAGAAAGAAATCAACCTTGTAGCTACTTCATAAAAACAAATTCCTCAGATTTCCTTAGTTTTTACCCTGAATCTATGGGTTGGAAGGAAAGATTATGGATATTCAGTAGTGTTTATTCTGTCTCCACCCCTTTCCCTGCATAATGCCGTTAGCAGACACTTTGGTCCCCCTCCTCCTCTGGGGGTCCTTCACATGTGGGAATTAGCTCTAGGCCTTCAGAGCTGAGCTCTGAAATGTCAGTCAAAATCCCCCTGCCACCAGGGTAGAGATCAGCTATTAATGTTCTTTGATTATCCTTCTCCCCTGCCTCCCCTTACAACACTCTTCATTCCCTTCTGGCTGTATCAGCACATTTTCTCTTCATCTTTCCCTCCATTTGTATTTGTCATTTCCAGTCTTAAAGCCAGCAGAAGATTAGTTAAGTTTGGTTTATTTATGAGTGTGTGTGAGTGAATTTATTTGATCCTGAGAGTAGAAGTGGGAAGTTATTCTACCAAATTCTTCTGAATTAAAAGCATCAAAGTGTTCTCTGTCCTGCTCCCAAGAAAGTAAAAAATTTTACTTTCCTCATCTTTATGATCAATATGACATGAGAAAACCCAGCCAGATATCATCCTTGGTTTCAAAGGTACTCACGGCCTCCACGCTGTCTGGTTTTCTGCTCCTGGTGTCTCCAGAGAACAAGGCCTTCAAGGCTATGTTTGTTAGAGGTAGATCTCTGCTGTCTGGCAAGAAGGGGCAGAGACTCTCAGAATGACAGCTGTGTGGAGGCTAAGGGTCAGCTGGAAGGGATGGGGAAGGGTCTCTTTATTTCACTCTATTTGATGCAGCCCCACCTTTCAGTTTACTGCGCTTGGGAGTGTTCCACCTCCCATCAGGAAAGAAACTATGTGACCCCACATTAACCACTAATAATTATGCATCAAATCAAAATGGGAATCTAAAGATAAAAACAGGGCAGCGTCAAAGGCTCATGGTTAGCCAGCATTTTTTCAGCTGGAATGTGAAGAATCTTGGTGTTGACATTTGAGGGAATTCAAGCTGCTGCCTCTCAGTGTGAAAGGATGAGATAGCTCGCAGTTGTTTGCATCAGGATTGTAATTTCATGGATTTCAGAAATATAACATTAAACTTAGCCTTGGCCTTCACGGTGAATCTATGCAGTGTTTTAACATTTTATTTTTAATTGACAAATAATAATTATATATATTTGTATAATAATTATATATATACAGTGTAAGAATCTATTTTTTTCTTTTCTTTTTTTTTTTTTTTGACAGGCAGAGTGGACAGTGAGAGACAGAGAAAGGTCTTCCTTTTCCGTTGGTTCACCCCTCAATGGCTGCTGCGGCCGGCGCACTGCGCTGAGCCGAAGGCAGGAGCCAGGTGCTCCTCCCGGTCTCCCACAAGGGTGCAGGACCCAAGGACTTAAGCCATCCTCCACTGCCCTCCCGGGCCACAGCAGAGAGCTGGCCTGGAAGAGGAGCAACCGGGACAGAATCCGGCGCCCCGTCCGGGACTAGAACCTGGTGTGCTGGTGCTGCAGGTGGAGGATTAGCCTATTGAGCCATGGCGCCAGTCAAGAATCTATTAAGATACAGGTATACAGTGTAAAATGATCAAATCAGGGTGATTATTATGTCCATCCCCTCAAATACTTAATCATTTCTTTGTAGTGAGATAATTTAAAATCCTCTCTTTTAGCTGATTACAGTACATTATTATTATTAACTATAGTCAACTTACATGAAGTAGAACACCAGAACTTATCCCTCTTATCTCATTTTAACTTCTTACCTGTTTCTCCTTTGCCTGTCTACCTGCCTTACCTGCTCCCTGCCCTCCGACCATCCCTGGCCTCTGGTAACCATCTTTTGACTCAAGGAGAAGTCTTTAAAAATTTGTGTATTTTTTTTATTTATTTGAAAAGCAGAGAGAGAGGAGCGTTCCTTCATCCACTGGCCCACTCCCCAAATGCCTGCTACAGTGAGATGGGGGTGAGGGGGTAGTGTCAGACCAGGTCAAATCCAGGGGCTCAGAACTCATTTCAGGTCTCCCATGTGGGTTGCAGGGACACGGGCGCTTGAGCCATCACCCACTACTCCCTAAGGTGCACTTCAGAATCACAAGCAGAGCCAGACTGAACTTAGGCACTCTGATGTGGACTGTGTGCATCTTAAGCAGTGTCTGAACCACAGCCCCAAACATTTGCCTCCATGGAGAGAGATTTTCAGTTGTGAAATGGCCCTTTTTTTCTTGGAAACTCAAGACTTCTTCTTTTTTTTAAGATTTATTTATTTATTTCAAAGAGTTACACAGAGAGAGGAGAGGCAGAGAGAGAGAGGTCTTCCATCCTCTGGTTCACTCCCCAGTTGGCTTCAACGGCTGGTGCTGCACAAATCTGAACCCAGGATCCAGGAGTTTCCTCCAGGGCCTCCATGCGGGTGCTGAGGCCTAAGGACTTGGGCCATCTTCTACTGCTTTCCCGGGCCATAGCAGAGAGCTGGATCGGAAGTGGAACAGTCGGGTCTTGAACCGGCGTTCATGTAGTTTCCTGGCACTGCAGGTGATGGCTTTACCCACTACCCCACAGCACTGGCTTCAAGACTTCTGTTTTATACACTGTTGATCAATGTACTTTTGATTGTACTACATTGATCAATACAGTTAAAGTACTGAGAAAAAAACCACCCCTATGAAGCCTACAAAGCATACAAGAGAAACGTCTACTGACACTTGTTTGAGGGGTGTCCAAACAGAGCTGTTAATCTAATCAGCCAGGTCAGTTTGACTTCAGGGATATGCATATGGGTCTGTTTCATCTTAGCCATCTGGAGCAACTTTGAACAATCTTGTGTTCTTTAACTGAATATTACTTATTTATTCCCAGTATTGTCCTTAAGAAAAAAAACAGTTAGCTTTCTTTTCAGTAGCCTTGTTTCAGAGATGATGTTTGTAACTATATATTTTTTTACTTTTTTTTTTTTTTTTTCTTTTTTGACAGGCAGAGTGGACAGTGAGAGAGAGAGAGACAGAGAGAAAGGTCTTCCTTTTGCCGTTGGTTCACCCTCCAATGGCCGCTGCGGCCAGCGCGATGCGACCGGCGCACCGCGCTGATCCGATGGCAGGAGCCAGGAGCCAGGTGCTTTTCCTGGTCTCCCATGGGGTGCAGGGCCCAAGCACCTGGGCCATCCTCCACTGCACTCCCGGGCCACAGCAGAGGGCTGGCCTGGAAGAGGGGCAACCGGGACAGAATCCGGCGCCCCGACCGGGACTAGAACCCGGTGTGCCGGCGCCGCTAGGCGGAGGATTAGCCTAGTGAGCCGCGGCGCCGGCCACTATATATTTTTTTAAAGATTTATTTGAAAGGCAGAGTTTACAAAGAGAGGGAAAGAGGGAGGGAGAGAGAGAGAGAGAGAGAGGGTGAGAGAGAGACAGAGAGACAGAGAGACAGAGAGACAGAAGGAGAGGTAGGTATTAATCTCCCATCTGCTTGTTCACTCAACAAATGGCCACAAAGGCTGGAGCTGGGCCAGACTCAAGCCAGGAGCCAGGAGCTTCTTCCATGTCTCCCATGTGCTTGGCAGGGGCCCAAGAACTTAAGCCATCTTCTGCTGCTTTCCCAGGCCATAGCAGGCAGCTGGATCATGAAGCAGCCAGGACTCGAACTGATGACTCAGATCGTAGATTTACCTGCTATGCCTCAACCCCGCTAACCAGTCATGTTCTAAAGAAAGTAATCTCCAACCTCTGAGAAATTTATCCCAACTTACCTAAAGCCTGCTTTTGGGGCCTAGTAAATATATGTTTCATGATAATTTTACTGTTAATTTTTAATTTTTTAAATTTTATGAAATTTTACTGTTATGGAATACATAAATTCTGAGTAGGATTTGGAACCCTTCCCAAGATTCACTAAAAGTCACTGGTCTTTATATGCCGGGCCTAGATTATTCATATCCTTCCCTTAATTAACTTAAGCTTAATCATATTTTAAAAAGATTTATTTATTTGAGAGGCAAAGTTAGAGAGAGGAGGAGACACAGATCTTCTGTCTGCTAATTACTTCCCAAATGGCCTCAGTGGTCGGCTATGGGTCAGGCTGAAGCCAGGAGCCAGGAACATCTTTGAGTCTCCCACATGGGTTCAGGGGCCCAGGAACTTGGGCCATCTTCTGTTGCTTTCCCAGGTTCATTATCAGGGAGCGGGATTGGAAGTGGAACAGCCAGGGCTTGAACCGGCACCTTTATGGGATGCTGGTGTTGCAGGTGGCAGCTTAACCTAGTATGCCACAATGCTGGCCCCTCAATTTTACCTTTTTACAGAGCTTGTTTAATTATGTCAACACTACAATAAGAAGAATCTAAATTTGCTGTATAAAGAAACTTCCTGATATGAATAACCTGAAAATTTCTGGTAAGTATAGACTTCTCTGTGATAAATTATCCAGTTTAACCCAAGCTTTGATTAAGAACCTACTATTTAGTGTCTAGTACCAAGGATCAGGAGAGTATGGTGGAAGATCAAACAAAACAAAAAACACATTAATATCCTACTACATTTACAGTAAAGAAATAAATAGAACATGTGAAAATATTTCAACAGCCATTGAAGTCAGTATTGTTTGAGCATCTCATATAGGCTACCTTCTTTGTTTTGTTTCATAGCTGCAGACTACTTCTCTCTAGTTTCAGCCAGTTTAAAAGTAAGTTATGTGCTTTTTGGTCATGACAGAAGGTGGGGTATTATCTCATTTCCAGTAGAAATGCAAAAGGGGTAAATTGTCCTGGAAAGATTCATTAAAAACAAGGCTTCCCTCATCAAAGGATGGCATATCCTATCATAAAAGTAGTAGTTTATGCAATATGATCTTGAGTGCTGACAGCTTAACGGGCTGTGTTACCTGTAGGAATCTGTGACTCAGCATCTGGCCCTCGGGAAGCAGATTCTTAACAGTCCGTGAAAGCTCAAGGTGAACTTCAGGTCATCCAAACCAACTCTTTCTTAATTTTTTTTAAACAAATGAGAACCAAAGTGCAGAGAAGAGAAGCTATTTGCCAAAGAATGTGTTATGGTCAGCAGGATATCATTATGAAATGAGAAATAAAATTACTGAGTATCCTGCAGAATGTTGGGGATTGATTAGCAAGCCTTTCCAGGTTATCTGAATTTATAGGAATCTACACTTTTTATTGTCTTTGAATTCTTTGGAACTCTGTAACTGAGGGTAAATCAAATTTTTCCTATCTGTAGAATTGCAAATGAATTTTATCTTGTGGAGATGCAGTCCATCACTTCCCACTCCAACAAGATGCTAGTCTTGCACCTATTAACAAATACATTTCAGTACTTCTTTTTTTAAAGATTTTGTTTATTTTGAGAGATAGAGTTACAGACAGTGAGAGGGAGGTTCATTCCTCAAATGGCCATAATGGCAGGAGCTGGGCCGATTCAAAGCCAGGAGCTAGGAGCTTCTTCCCAGTCTCCCACGTGGTTGCAGGGGCCCAAGGACTTGGGCCAACTTCCACTGCTTTCCCAGGGCACAGCAGAGAACTGGACTAGAAAAGGGGCAGTCAGGACTAGAACCGGTGCCCATATGGGATGCTGGTGCCACAGGCAGAGGATTAACCTACTGCGCCACAATGCTGGCCCCCTCATGCATACTCATCAAATGGCCACAGTGGACAGGGCTGGTCAGGATAAAGCCAGAATCCCAGAACTCCATCTGGGTCTCCCACATAGGTAGCAGGAACCCAAATATGTGGGCCCTTCTCTTCAGTAGTATACTGGCCATTTGATGAGTAAATCAGCAGGTGGAAAACCCCTCCCTATCTCCCTCTCTGTGTGTAACTCTTTCAAATAAATAAATCGCCTCAGGTGAAGGATTAACCAAATGATCCACAGCACTGGCCCCAAAATCCGATTA